GTCAGTAGTTTTAGAAAGAGAACCCACATGGTGATAGAATGGACGTAGTAAAACGAATCAATGAAAAGCTTACTTACTTACTTACGCCTGTTACTTCCGATGGAGCATAGGACGCCGATCAGCATTCTCCAACCCACTCTGTCCTGAGCCTTCCTCTCTAGTTCTATCCAATTATTGTTCATTCTTCTCATGTCTATCTCCATTTGTCGAAAGTAGAACTGTCTAGACATTTGTATTGAAAATTGTAACTTTGGTGTTGGTTGACAGACAGATGTTTTGAGTCGCAGATATTCTTCAATTGTAGATATGCTGCTCTTGCTTTGCCGATTCGCGCCTTCACTTCTGCGTGAGACCCACCATGCTCATCAACCATGCTACCCAGATATGTAAAGGTTTTTACATCTTCCAAAGCTTCTCCATCAAGTGTGATTCGATTGGCGCATGTTTTGTTGTACCGGAGAATCTTACTTTTCCCTTTATGTATGTTGAGACCTACTGCTTCTGCTAAACTGGTCGTCTCCTCCTGTATTTGTTATTGAGTGTGCGATAAAAGAGCCGGATCATCTGCGAAGTCTAGATCGTCCAGCTGCATTCTAGCGCTCCAATGAAACGTTTAGTGATGTTTATATGAAGAAAAACTGTTGCACTTTCATGATTGGTGATTAAATAACTGAAGGGTTAGAGTAATAACCAAACTGAGTCTTAAGTGATGAGCTTTTAACTTAAATATTATTAGTTCATTTATTCTCATCGATCGAAATCAATAATAAATAATCATAGAAGCATGTATATTACTATAAGCTAAATTTCAGGCATGACGAGATTATGATACTATCAGACTGTGACATCAAGTATTTCTAATGACGGGGTTCGAACATATGAACCGACTCAAATGAGTAATTGATTCATGATATAAGTATTATAATTGTGATGTGTTGATAAATAGGAATCTACATTTTTTTTTGGTGTTTTGCAACAGTATATGGCACTTTTATAAAGAGAAATTAGCTTTCCCTCAAGTCCTTGCATGTTTTGTTTGTATTAAAAAGAAATAAATCGTTGCAATTTTGTTTTGAAACTAAGTTACTACGGAGATAACTTCGAAAAACTACAAATAGAGATTTCATGACAAATGACTCGGACTAGTCTGTTTTATTGTAAAGACAATAAACTATTTACGATATAAAAATGTAATGGTACTTTTAATTTTAATAGTGAAAAATTCGGACTTGGACTTAAATAAAAATTTTTTTTAAAAGCTAAAGGTTGTGAGTTTGTATTTCCTTCTTATTGATTGATATATCCACGATTGTAATTGATTTTGTGTTCCCCAAACAAGTACCATGTTGCTACTCGTCATTACAAATATAATTAAATTTTAAAGATTGTTTAGTAGCCCCCAAATGCCCTGATACAGTTGAGAGTGGGGAGAGTCATCTCACCCTCTCCAAACGCTCTCACATGGTCACATGCATACAACCACTGCCACAGAAGTCCTATTCACTGCCTTCTCGCAGCATCACTGTTGTTTGCAAAATTGAGAGGAAGGAAAGTGAATACCTGGCGCTTTAACTGGGTTGGTGGATACGGAGAGTCCACCTAGGGGAGTTGGAAAACCCTCATTCCAAACCAATGATGCACATGGGCTCCAGTATCTTGAGGGAAAAAACGGCGTATTAACCTATTGTTGATCACCCGCTACCATGGGGACTGCATCGTCTAACATTGCTCCACTGCCTTGTGCATTAGACCTCTAGGTCAAAGGCTTCGAGTGTGGCCCTCTAAGAAAACCACCTGGTTCGGTTCGGGCACCCGGGCAGTATCCTAGCCCTAGTACATGACTTTTCAGAAGTGCGCATCCACGAACAATCACATGAGACTTCTATACTGCCGAACCAGCATCCGACGGTGTTTATACTTAACGTCAACTAATCCGCAAAATTGCACGACCATCTTCGATTACCTGTCTCTACCAGACACGGATTAGCTCCACTGGTCACAGCTTCTCATTAGAACTCCGAGAATTACCACTCGAAGCTAGTCACTAGTGAGCACATGGTAATTATCAGTATAGGGTTGTAGCAACTGTTGAGTTTAGATTTATATCAAGAGTGGTGGATGAATGTAAGATGACGAGTGGAAAGCTGTAAGTACTGGACGGCCGTTTCGTCCTAGTATGGAACCCTTCAGCAATGCAGGATCGTGAATATACACTGTTGAAGAGTGCCAGACTAGAATGAAACAGCCATTCAGTACTACCAAATTTTCAATGATGGTCTAACATCAATCGATTCATGATCTCTACAACTTTGTACTGAAACCTTTTTCATATTCTCTCTCTCATTAAAAACTAAACTGTTCAGTTTCACACTAATCTATATTTCAGATGAATAAACTACAATCAATCAATCATGGATTTGATGATCATGAAAATAATAAGGAAATTATGTAATTCTCATTACTTATTTTTTAGAAAAATTATCAATTTATTATGTAACATTTCAACTAGTCTAATCATTATTTGGTGCAATTTATCATCTACCACACATACACACACAAAACCGTTAACCTTGTAATCTTGATGAAAGTTATTTAATGAATACATCATTTTTATGATTATTATGTGAATTAATCTCTTTTTATCAGTATTGAGTTGAGGTTAGACATTGTCACCGTTGGATCCTGGCTGAATGGTTTAGAGGTTGAGTGTTCTTGCGCGATATCGAAGGTCCAAAATAGGACGAAACGGTAGTCCAGTGGTTCCAGGTTTTCAATACTGGTCTAATGTCCATGATTTTATGATTTTGTTGTTCAATGGTACAGTTAGAAATTTTATGAATCTTTATGAGATTGCGTATTAGTGAAACTAATTGTGATTAGCTATTGAGTGTGGATAAAAAGGCATTTAGCTTATTGACTTCAAAATGAGATTTCCTTTCCTATTATTGATTTATAATTTCGACTAATTGAGTGTAAGCTATCTGTAATTTTGTTGAATAAGGTTATTGCCTAGTCTATACTCTAGTTCTCTATATTTGACTTTGAATGATATATTTTAGACAATGTGGTCCAGTTTATGTATAAGATATCGATCTAGTAGCAATGTAATCTCAATCATTAATCCTGTTATTGTGCTGCTAGTGTAGAACACCATAGAAACAGAAAGTATATTTGTCCTCCCCATCATATAATTTTGATGACAAATCAGTTTTCTAACAGACCTAGTCACCATACTATGTATTGTGATCAGATAATAATCAGAAGAAAAATGGACATATTGTACAAACTCAAATGAGAATTATCGGCATTGTGGAAAAAAATTGGTCGTAATAATGTTAATGTCTGATTTTAACTGGTCTAAATTGTTGTGAGAAAATAGTTTCAGATGAATAAAACCCTAACCAAATTTCCAACATTATTTATCAGAAGACATCGGTTCACCTAATGATTCAAGTATTTATAGTGAAATCTTTAATTGATATGAAGAAAGTATGTTAAATGTATCAAATCCTGATCAGAATTCTGATGCCATTTCATCAGATGTGAACTGTTCGAATGATCTGGAGCCTTAACCGTGTTGGCAGACACAAAGGATACACCTAGGACAGTTGGAAAAACCACAATCCAAAACCAATGGTATACATAGGCTATTTGACCAGGTTGATGAATATGGAAGATTCATCTAGGGGAGTTGAGAGACCTTGATTCCAAACCAATGGTGCACATTGGCTCCAGAATCCTGCGGGAAAAAATGGCATATGAACCTATTGTTGGTCACCAGCTATCATGGGGACTGCATCTCCTAACGTCGCTCCACTGCCTTGTAGATTAGACCTGTAGGTCAAAGATTCGGAGAAGGGCTTCCTGAGTAAACCACCTGCTTTCATTTGGGGGTTCGGTCAGTACATCAGCCCTCAAACAAATGGAATGATAAAGTGTGGCGCATATGTATTTGGTGCCTCCTCGAACCAATGTTTATGTGTATCAACAAACAAGTACGAATGACTCACTTGTGTTTAGTGAAATCCTTAGTAAATGTGACTTCGAATGATGCTATCTCATCTGGTATGTTCGTCCTCACAATGCATATATTTCCAGTGAAATCTCTTATCATTGTTATAAACATGCCCTGAATGAGTCGAACTCTGATCAGATATTATCGCAACTAATGTATGTCGAGTAGTATCTCTAATTAATGCTGTGATGAATCACAAAAGAGCAAATGTTTCTGAAGCAGTCAGAAGGCCAATATGCTTAAATATAGTAGTATTACGTGGAAACGAGCTGTTATATCAACGACAAGGTTCCTTGAGTTTATGCAGTAAATTCGTGGAAAGTTTTCTGAAAACCGTTCAATAATATTTATGGTACATAAGTCTTTTTACTCCTTTTAAAGTGGTTCACATAAAAAAAGAACTCAAACAAGAACAAGCGTTATTGATAATTAGGAATTCATTTTAAATTGATTGATTTGGGTACTGAGGACAGTCGTGTGATTGTATGTAAAATAATCCCGACCGTTGTTGCTACCTTGAAGTGGTGGTCGGGCTTGCCTATCGTGATGAAGCAACCGAGCTATACTGGCTGCAACAACCGTTCCTCAAGGTCCTATCATGTCAGACAGGTCGGTTGAAGATCGGTAAGACTAAAAGCAACAAACCCAAGGTCCGAAGGCGAAGTCGTACTGCTGACTGTACAGAGGTGTGACAGCAGTAAGGTGTTTCCTTCAGACAACCAGCATGACAGCGATGCTGCCTTCCCACAAGGAGGGGTGGGGTTAGAAAAGGTCGACCATAAAAATGCACACCTCGCCTTATCCCACGGATATCAGTCTCCGACGGTAAGGTCCCAACAAGTACGGAGCTAACACGAAAATTGCCCATAAAAAGGTCGTGTGTGACCGACCTCAAGCAGTTGTCCATTGGACACTGCGGTCACGCTCTCGGGTCACTAAGACCACCTCTAATCCAATTTCCTTTTCAGGTACCTCCAGAAGAACCCTTCCACGATGTGGGCAGTCGGGAAGTGATAACCGCCCTCATACCTCTAACAGCACTCAAGATCTCTGATGTAGAATAATGTTTATTTTGAAGTGAAGCATTTAAGACTACAAAATGTTACGAGCTCGGTCCCAAAATACATGTTTTTTGACTCGTCATAATGGAATAAAAGTACTTAGGAGACAGCAAAGACGCTGATTTTTTGGTAGTGAGAACGAGCAATGAGGCAGAGAGGCTTTAGATAACTTATTGGACCCACTCATTCAAACGTGCTTTATAAAAGGATTTCAGTCTAAACAAATAGAAAATTGGAAAGTTTGTTGCTTAGATCCAGGATACTAGTTGTAGATTATAGAAACAGATCGATACTCAACTGCATAACCAACACGGCACAGTATGAATCCGTATATTAAAGAAAGCTAAAAAATATTTACAAACGTAAGCAATATTTAGACCTAAATTACACTAAGTCGCCTTTTTGGTGTTTTCTGAAGTCCGAACATGGTTGATTGATGCACATCCTTTCAATACATGCTCTTATGAGGGTGACATTTTAGGAGGACATCGATATAATTACATCCTTATCTTTAAACGTACAAATTTGTGCTGTGATCAATAAATGAATCCACCAATACCAGCATTAAACGTCCACTACTAGATTAGTTCACTTTGATCTTTATATGGATTATAATTCGTTTATTTTCCAATCAGAATCTTACATATTTACCATAAACAATGAGAAGTTCTGTTATCCGATTATTATCCATTCTCTCTAGTAACTATACAAAAACATGAAGTTTATTAAGTTGAATAGCCTACTTGGGTGGGACTATAATTTATGGACGACGTAGACTGACCTTGAGACTGTCCAGCTGATAACTAGGATCAAATGAAGGTGATAAATTAGAATTGTGATTTACAGTTGACGGTTAATGTTAGAAATTAGATTTAAAGGTTTTCATTACGAACTGACATCAGCTATAATGCCAAGACTCTGAATTTAGTCAAATGGATGAGTGAATTATGTGTCAAAATTCAAAACCTGTTATCTTAGATCTAATTGGTTTTTTCATCAGTCAATAACAACTTTAGAACTTCGTACGTACGTATATCACTTCGAGTTGCCACACCACATTAGCACAGAAATGCAGTTGTCGATTCAAAACCCATAGTGGTAGAGGTGGTAAGAGTTTAAGCAGTAATCGGAAAGATTAGGGTTTGAAGATGTTATTTAAAGAGTATAATCCAGTGAAATAAATTTGGAAAGAGAAAAAAGAAAGGGACATGAATAATTCAGAAGATTAGAATTTGGGAGAACACAGAGTGTATGCACCTGCGTCATCGCAAACGATTTTGAGCCATGTCATTCAGGGTCTCTAACCATCGGTTGCTATCGTCTTGCGGATCCAATCGAGGTAGTCTACACCTACTAACACGGCTCAGTTCACTTGTCTAGTGACTTCATGAATTTGTGCCATGTTTTGGTCTGGCCACCCCTAGCTTTCTTGCAACCTACTCCTACACCATAAAACATCGCATGCCGAAGCAGTCGTTGATTGAGTATACGTAACACGTGTCCCAGCCATCTCAACTGATAAAGTTTCGCCCGCTTAATTGTTCCAATTTTGAAGGTGTTCAATCGCCTGGGTTCTTTTTTTAATTCCTAACAAAACAAAGTGCACTACAATAAAGAGAAAAATATGTTAAACAATGAAAATGTGAAGTACAATAATTTGGAAATGCACTTTTCAAAATACCAACAAAAAAAATCTTTAGAACAGAAAATATAATAATAAAAAAAAAGATTTGAACTCTGGAATAATGAGAGAACTAAACAAAACCTGAGAGAGAATGATGTTACGGATAAAATGATCTTAAAGGATATTCTTGTTGTTTGTTCTTTTTACAATGGATTAGACTAATTCAATGAATGTGACTCCTTTATTTTCTTATTGATTTACCAATTAGGATTACCAAAACGTTGAATTGTTTTATATGCTTCATCAACATCTTTACGTGATTTCATTCGCATATAAAAAATTGGACAATCTCGACTGAAATATAAATGTTATAAAAAATAATTAAATTTAATATGTGTATTACTACTACTCTGTGGTGAATGAATGCTACTACTTATAAGACTGGTTGTAAAAGTAGTATAGTAGAGAAGCGTCAAGTAGAAGTTGTCGAAGAGAAAACACTTAGGATGTTTAAGAAGCACGCTATATACAGAATATCATGAAGACTAGAAGAGAAACAAGAGAAAACAGTTTAGAATTAACTTGCATTGAACAATACACAAGATGTGAATCGACGATTGATGCCTTGGAGTATCGCATTCATTAGCCACAACTTTTGGACTGTAGCGTAAATAGCCTGGGCAGCTAAACAACTGTTGAGTCTGAAAGTATCGTCAGTAATAGATGACACTAAGACAATTTGACTCTAGGTTGCCTTCTCTCGCTTCTCTTTTGGTTTTCAAAGTATTCTGTACATACCGTGCTTTTTGACCTCCTGGAATTCTTTTCTTCGGCAGTCAACTGTAGTAACTTCCATTTGACGTTCCTCTATATATCACTTATTAACAATCTTGTGAGTAGTGTTCGCCACAACTAGTTCTACATATAGTGGGAGGGATATGTAACATGTGATAAATGAAACTTTCATGGGACGGTTGGGTTCGTAATGTCAGTTGAACCATTCGATTTCCTATCAGTAGAATGAATATAGCTTGGTTGTCTATATTAATTTAAGTAGTTAATCAGTTCGGTTATTAGCTCTACTCTTCATATATAACTGACGTATGAATTAAATCAAACCCACGCTTGATAAGTGAATTACATAACAGAAGAAAGAAAACATCAAACTGAAAAATATCGTAGTTAGCCCATCGGAATTTCTTTTTAACGAAATTTGAATTCACGGGAAACGCAAATCACTAAAATGAAAGTTATGAATGTGGTGTTTTAGATGTCGATAGAACCGGATGACACTCCAGTCAGCAGTTTTCGATATACGGTACAGTGAAGACAAGGAGAGAAAAGGGTAGTGAAGAACGATATATTTGAATGGAGGCAGAAATAGATAAGTACAAAACGACTAAGCTATTTGAATATGGATTGGTAGTGAATACCGGATAATAGACGACGGTATGTACAGCTAATGGTTTTCCTATCAATCGTAACAAGGAAACACTAAGATAAGTGCAGCTTGCAAGTTTAAGGATAAGATAGAATCTACATCTAGAATCCAATTTTTGAGAGGTATATCGAATTGTATGCAGCCAATGTACGAATACGAATGATGATGAAGCGTCGGATCAACGAAACAATAAGCTAACAGAAGCCGTTCAATAGATACAAGGGAAAGAATAAAAGTGTTAAACTGTGTGCAGTAGCCTCTTCCTCTAGGATTGATCACGAAATCAGACATATTCAAGACTAAATTAACATCAATATTTGGAACTCACACCACTCACTGACTGCAGTTAGATGACCATTAAAAACTAGGAAGCCTTTTATAACCGTTTGGTCAAATGTAGGTTTTTAGAAAACTATGCATTATTGATTTCAGTAGGAATAAGACTGAGAATCTCCAGATCACTAAGTTTAAATGTGTAACCTCAGTCAATTCGCGATATTGTAAGACCATCCATCATTCTCATTCGACAGTTTCGCACGACAACTCTGTTTACGAGTCATTAGTGAGCACATTATCATTAGTCTAGGCAGTTTGTCGAGATCGTTGAATTCCTAGTTTATATCACGCAATGAATGTAACTCAAAGTAATCATAATAATAATAAATCTACCTGGTACATATAACTTCTTCATGTATACTTTGTTGACAACGTTGACATTCTGTCCATAAAGAAGTGAATTTTTTCTCTAATAAATTTAACTGTACAATTTCTTTTTGATAAATCTCTGATGCACGTGATTCACAATATTTACATAAAGCTGCGTCTAGATTTGACGAGGAAGGAGAAGAAGTGAAAGAAGAAAAATATGGATAATAAAACAATTTCTGAGTTGATTAGGACTTGATTTCCCTCCTTCCTTTCTCCATTTCTTCCCACATCGCAGCTGTTACCTTCATGTTCTTACAGAGTTATAGTTAATGTTGGGGTAGTTTGATGGTAATTAGTTGCAAGCTACTACTAGAATGAAATATATCAGTTGATTTAGGTCAGTATCTTCGTGAGCAATCTTATGCTGACAAAACAATTAACTAGCATGAAGTTCAAGTCCGGAGTTTCATGTTGGTTACCTTTAACCATCAACCTTAGACCATAGCTGCTACCTTGATGTGGCTGGTCAGGCTTGCCTATCGTGATAACTGGACTGAAATATAGTGGCTGGAACACATGTTTTTGTAGGTCTTACTATACCAGATAGGTGAGTTGGAGAACCATAAGACTATAAGCAGCAAATTAAGGTTCGAGGGCGAAGTAGTACTGCTGACTATACTGAAGTGTGACAGCAGTAAGGTAATTTCCTTAGACAACAAGTATCCGGAACGATGTTGCCTTCTCATAACGGAAGGAATGGATAAGGAAAGGTTGATAATATAATTACCACATCTCACCTTACTCCACAGGTTTTCGTCTCTGGTGGTAAGGCCTTTTAAATAACAGAGCTAGCACATCGAAAACATTCGATAAAACAACCGTGTGTGACCGAAGTCAAGTAGCTGTCACATCAGCTCTCCGGTCACGTTCCTAGGTCACTAAGACCACAATCAAGAGGTAACGCCCTACCGTGATATGGGCAGCCGGGAAGTGACAACCGTCCTCATACCTTTAACAGCACCTGAGGTCATCTTGTTCACGAACATATTCCTCCATAACCTTGAACTGACTTACTACCAACTATCTATCTAAACAATAATGGACTTTTTTTAGTAAATATGTTACCTTTCCATTGAATGTGAATACTTGTTTAGTTGTCAAGCTCAGTGATTTTAGAAAGGAAAACAATGGAATAATAGAAAATGACACACAAAAACCTTCACGTGTTCAACATAACCTCCCTCTCACCTGTTTTATCAGCAGGTAATAATGTTCTACATCCAATACATGATGCACGTACTTTTGTAAAAGCTGATAATTGCCCAACAGTAGAGTGTACCACAGCTTTTACACGTGTATGTTCGCCATCTATGCAGGACAAAGAAAAAATAGGAAGTTTTGTAAGAAAAAAAAGAAATAAATGTGATATTATTACAATGAAAAAAAACTAGACGTTAACTAGTAACATATTGAGTCCCGCGTAATCGGGCTAGAATGACAAGAAAGCCGTTATATAATCATTTTCTCTCTCTCTCTCACTCTCTAGTGTGATTATTGACTAGTTCACTTATAGTGCCATTAGAACTAGTGACGTATTTACCAAATGACATATGAACCAAGAACATAACACTTTCTCCTCAAGCTACTGGAGACCCCGTGGCTAATCAGAGGACGAAGACGGAAAGCAGCTCATTTGTGTTCAATTCAACCATGACTCAAAACTCACTCAATGACATAGTTGAAATATCTGACCACGCGGCGACATAATCAGGGAATTGCAGCATGTACACAACTCAATCATAAGTGATACAAAACCGGAGTAATAGAAGAGTAATCAATCAGTGATAAATCTGGAATGATACGACATACAACAACGATTTATGGATCAAACAAAACTTAAAAATAGGCAGATCTGAAGATGTGCAGATGAAGTATATAATATATGGCTTCCATAATTTACGAAGACACTTTGTAATTTCGCACTATACAATAAATTGGTCATCTGCACAAAGTCTTCGTTCACCATACGTAAGATAACTCTATACATCCACCACCTATCAAGTAAAACTAACAAAACTACATATAAACCTTTCTGATATCGATTACTGCATGATTTATAAAGAAGGCTGTGTTGAGTTTTACAAATTTGCAGTAATATGCACAGACACTGTAGATGGATAGATAAAACATTACGAAAACCAGCTAACTGAATCACGAGGCAAATTCTAATTTGGAAATCTCAAGACAAAAGAAAGGCAGACCAAAAGCACAGTGTCCGAAACACACCATGAGGATGAGTAGAGCTTGACAACAATTGGAAAGGAGAGTTCTAAAGAAATTTCTTGGTCAGTGATCTATACTCCACGAGGGGTAAGTAACAAGTGTAAGAAGTAATGAACAGACACAATTTTTTAAAAAGAACAATATACAACAACTTACTTAACAGTACAGATTTTGCTTTCACTTCACCTAAAATTGGTTCAAATATACGTAGTAAAGGGTTAGCTAATTGATTTTCCAAATAATACTTTGTATCAATCGGTATATTATGCTCTAATACATAAAGAGGATCTTCAGCTTTTGCATAAGCTGCTGTATTTTTCCCACCTACAGCAGTAATTACATAAGGTACACGATCGCCTAAATTTGGCGCTGAGCCTGGATCACGTTTACGCATTTTTGCAGCTAATTCTACATGAGCTTGTTTACCAGAGTATTCTTCATCGGTTTTTGTTAATTCTTTACTAATAACTAATTGTGAAATGTCAATACGATTGCATAATAAATCTGAGATCACTGATTGGGCATAACTAATCGCTGCGTTTGGATCACTGAAAAAAAGAGAAAAATTACAAACAAACAAAAATGTATGGAAAACTATTGAATATTAAAACATGAAAAGTCTGCAGAGAGACTGTCCAGTTCGAAGAAAGGTTTGTAACACGAATTGACTTTAGTTCAAAGAAGTGAAGTGGACAGCTGTTTTGTCTTTCGCATCATTCAACTCTGTTATGTAGGTGTCTATTGTAAGCTGAAAATCTACAGTAGTGGATAAGTCAGAACTATTCTCCATATCGACAGAGACTAGACAAATTAAAATAGTAATGTTATTTATTCCCCGTATTTATATGACAACAATAGGATGGATATTACAAAATTTAACATAGAATTTGGCTTTTTAGATGGTGGTTGGAGGTAGTCAACAGGAAACCCTGGACCCGGGTTTCGTGCTACTTGGCACTCGTCAGCAAGGTGTACCTGTAATCTTGAGGGAACTGGTGCTCCCTGGCGGATACGATCTCGTGTCACCCAGCTTCACAGTCAGAGACGTTACCACTGAGCTATCCGAACCGCGACTAACCTGGTGACCACATTCCAACATGATCGATAGCATTCGATCTGCACAAATAATAAGGACTAGACACGCATGACGTTGATCACCACCCAGTGATCAATCAATTGTGATAGAATTTGACTACTTAACAGTTAAGATGAATGTAGAGATCTGATGTTACAATAGGCTGTAATCGGTTAATGAATGAAGACAGACAGATAGACGCCTATTCTATGATCTATAATATCAACCACTAGTTTTACACGGTAAATGATTCACGTAAAATTTCTACTCTGGGTTCATTGTGTGCGAACCGATTGTCCATCGAAAGATTAGACACTCCTGTCTTTATAATATGATGTTTAAATGTTAATCAGGAATGTGTATTTGTGCATAACGTGAATTAATCTAGTGGTCTGATCTTTTCGTATTTAGTATTTCGATCTGGTGACCCCAGTTAAATTATCCAGTCTAGTGTTGGTGTATAAATTATATGGTATTATCTACCGCATTCTGTACTGGAGGAACAAATACATTATTATTTTTGCTGTTAAAATAATATTGTTGAATTTCGTGGTTCCATATTATGGACTGACCATAGACAAACCATTGAAAACTCACGATCTGAGTTCGATTCCTGATGTGCTCGAGGATGCGCAGTCTTGAAAACGTCCCATACACAGGATGAAAAAGCAATCCAGCGCTTCCCAAATTCTAATTATTATCTAAGTAGAGTCAGTTCGTGATATCACACCTATTTCGACATTTATCCTCAGTGTAGGAGATCGGTAGCTTTTTGAATTCTCAGTTTTAATGCTGCAATTATGTAATGCTTTTTAGCTATCTGTGACAAGTTGCGTATGGTTTTCGAGTGTCTATCAAAGATGAATAGAAGGTTCCTAATGGAAACTCCTGAGATATTCGAACAACAAAAGTTAAAAGATTATTGCTAATAAAATTTCAGGTCGTGAAGTGATAACTTGTTTGTTTATGTGATATTTTTTTCCTAGAAACTAGCATTTCCAACTTATGAATTACTACCAATGTGACACAAAATCCCATTAAGTTTATTTAAAATATGACGATAGTAGCATGTAGGAGAAGTTTGTACAAAAACTGAGGTGTTCATTTGATTTTGAACTCGAAAAACTTCCTCAATCACGACCACAAATAAACCAGAACGTAGTGGTCTAATACACCTTGGTCAAGTACAGGTTTTCTGTATTCAGATTTTTACCAAATAGTTTGTAGAAGTTAGAATTGGCTACCCAAATCAAAGTAAGTGTAAAAGGATTATGTTGTGCGACAAAATGGTAGAAAGCCGTTCTGCATTTGATATTAGTAAGTGATGTATGAACGACGAAAATAATGCTTGATTGTTTGTTCAATCAGATTAGTAGACAGTCTGACAGGTATTAAATGAGTTATATATTTTACTACCCTTATTATTGTTGTGATTGTTGTCTGTTGTTAGCATAGAAATATACTGACATTCTATTCAGGCTAGTCACGTGTTCTTGGTCTGAAGTGTGTTGAAATCCTGTAGAGAAGACATTGGGAGGGTATCTAGTGCAGACAATCGTCTAAGGTGAATTAAGATCCCATTGTGTAAGGTAGAAAACAGAGCGTTATTCCAGCAAGTGATTAAAATCCATTCGCATTACACAAAATCTCCACAAAAAGATATATATATATATACGTACATACAGGTACAGAAAACTTTAATCTTCTTACCGATCAATCAATATACGCTCTAAACATGCATTGATTAAATTAGCCACCAATGGACTATTATCACGACGTACAGTTTCAATACCTTTACAATCCATTTTATCGTGTCGATCTGGTTTTGTAAAATACAAACCAGCATAACGTTTTTTATTGATTAATAAATATGGACAATACACCTGAAATCAATTAATGATATAAATATAGGAAAGATTATTTCTATCATGAAGAGATAAACGCATTGAAATGAACTAACGACGATGTGAAGGCTTATAAACATCAAATTAGATTAGTTATACATAACATAGAACTTGAAAAAATATGAATGGCGCGTAATCGTCACACATTAGTATAGTGAAATGAAATTAACGAGATGCCTGACAAATAAAATGATGTCATAGATACAGTTGAAATGCTTGAAAAGGCGGGATCATTCGGCAAAATAAGATGCATGAAAGTAATAGTGAAGCTCAAATTCTGAAGGAGAAAATAAAGCAGCTTCTAATACTCATGATAAAAATAGTATCTAAGTCAGTCACATTTAGCCATGAACAGAGAGACTAGCACAGATATGTGTTAGCCCGAGTTGCCATACCGAAAGTGAACGAAGACCTGAATTTGAAAAGATAAATACCAAACGAATCGAAATAATTATGGCATCACTACTAGTCATATTAGATGTGTAGCAAGATAGAGCGTGAATGAGTTTACGTACGCTACTGCGACCGATTCTAACTGATGTGTCACCAAACGTCTCCAACCATTGATCGTGGTTATCAAGCAGACTCCAGCGGAGTAGTATGCACGTACCGACGTGGCTTACACAAATAGTGAGTGACTTCATGAGAGAATGTATAGCCTTGATTTGGCTCCCCTACATTTATTCAGACGTACTCTAACAACAGCTACAATCGCTAATAAACTGGGCGGTGGTTGGGTATACGAACCACTTATCCCAACTGCCTCGGTCGATGAGGGTGTACAACCTGGTCAGCTGATTTGCCATCTTTACCAAATAACCTATGCACTTATTCGGCCGTTTCACGATATTTAAACAATGCTTTAAAGATAAGCATGATCGAAAGAGTGAAGCCTATGCATATTATGTTTTATAAACAGTGTAATACAAACCAAACTTCTACGCAGTATGCTCGCTCTTCGGTTAGCAGATGGACATCTTGACTACGCTACAAGTGATGCAAGTTAGGTAAAACTAATCAAGATTTCTGAATCCATCCCGAGATTTTGTCGAACACCAGACCATCCGGACTGAAGAGACTCTTAGGATAAGTAGTGGTCGACGCACACAACTACTTCACTCCTTGTCAGTAGGTCAGGCGTTGATGCAGACAGGTTATCAAGCAACATTTAGATTATCTGGCGCATTTTTAAATCTTTGATATCAGGCTCCACAAGTAACATAATTTCAATATGTACCATGGTATTTTCGATAGCGGCAGCATAAGTGTCAAAATCTAATGTAAGCAGAAGCATTTAAACTCGTACTTTTATGATTACTGTTAAAGTGATCTATATATCTCTGTCTGGAACAAAACAAGTAATTAGTGCCAACTAAAATGAAGATTACCCCTGTATAAATCACATCACGATACATTAATCCAATTAGAAATCAAGCAAATTAATGAATATTATTGACCAAGAAATAGCTTTCATTTCTAAGAGATAATATATACACTACTGATGGTTTCATACTAGTATGGGACTTTATCAGTGACAGTGCGTATCCACGATCCCGCTTCACGGGAATCGAACCTAGGACCTAACGGTCTCGTGCACGAACGCCTAATTTCTAGACCACTGAGCCCCCAAATGCCAGGTACGGCCGAGAGTGGGGAGAGCCTGCTCTCCCTCTCGAAATGCTCTCACATGGCCACGCGTATATAGCCTCTGCCAGGGAAGTCCTACTCACTGGCTTCTCGCACCACAGGTGTTGTTTACGAAAATTAGAGGACGAAAAGCGAATGTCCGGCGCTTTAACCGGATTCCAAACCAATAGTGCACATGGGCTCCAGTATCCTGCGGAAACAAATGGCGTATGAACCATTCTTTGGTCACCGGCTTCCATGGGGCTGCATCTCCTTACGATGCTCCACTGCCTTGTGGATTAGATCTCCAGGTCGAAAGCTCGGGGAGTGGCCCCTTAAGAAAACCACCTGCTTCAGTTTGGGCACCCGGGCAGTATCACAGCCCTTACATATATCGAATGAGATTTGTGTGGTGCATATGTATTTGGTGCCTCCTTGTACCAATGTCTATGTGTTAAAATAAATAAAATAATAAACCAATGGTTTAATTTCTGATGGACATGTAAATGAAGATGCATATTGAAGCCATTGACCCTCGTTTGGTCGTATGAATTTATCATTATCTGGAGGGCACACGTCGAATTAGATTCATCGTTGACGCTTGAATAATCACTGTGGCAGAATAAGGTAGCACTGGGACGGTTAACCGGATTGGAGTAGTTACTCTACTAATCACAACAAAGTTTGGATGAGTTATTCGTAGTATCTATACACTAATATAGGCCGGTCATTTTATTCATGAAGCTACACATCGATTCGGTTTATTTAGTAAAATTTCTTACTTTCAGTCTTTTCGCTCAAGTAGTTGATTTGACTAGTGAACAACGAAGCTTGTGTATCAGTATCAAAATTTGGGCACCGCATGTCATACCGCATATCCTACCCATTCATCACATGAGATTAACTAAAATTAAACCGTCCAATCCATTACATTAAGTATAATGCAAAGATGAGAGCAATAAGCGTTACATGTACAGTTCATAATTCATGTTAACAAATTATCACCAATGTCTACTGTTGTAATGACCGGTGTTTCAGAGTTGATACTGATAAGTAAACTCCCTATATACGAGTCAATCAAGCTACTTGAATAAAAAGACCATACATTTGGAAACTTCTAACTGGCTCAATATATTATGTTCCATGATATCAGTTGAAATATCGAATGAATATTTATCTATTTATAGAAAATATATTCAAAGAACATACCTTTTCAAATTCTAATCGAATTGGTTTAGGAAATTCTTCAGATATAATTTCGGCAGCTTTACGACCTAATTCCATAGCTTCCGTTACTGTGGATACACCAAATTTACACATCACTGAATCTGTATCACCATAAATAACCTATGAAATAAACAGAGAAAAAAAATAAACGGTTACAAAATGAACATTCAGTCGATTTTTATTATTCGAAGAGAAATTCAAACCTAAAGACCTGTTTGAAAACCCGCCTCTCCCTCTCGAAATGTTATGACATGACCATGCGTATATAACCAATCCTAGGGAAGCCCTATTTACTGTCTCATCATGGAGGGGTTGTTGATTAAGAAACTAAGAGGACGAAAAGCGAGTGTACGTCGCTTAGACTGTGCTGGTAGGTACGAAGCAACCATCTAGGTGAGTTGGAAAGCTCTTACAATTAATGGTACATATGGGCTTCAGTATCCTGAGGAAATAGACGGCGTCCGAACCTATTCTTGGTCATCAGCTAACATGGGACACCATCATCTTACGTTGCCTCATTGGTTTGTTGACTAGTCTCTAAGTCAAAGCCTCGGGGAGTAACCCCCTCTTAAGAAAACCACCTGCTTCAGTTTTGGGGAAGCGAGCAGTATCCTAGCCCTCAAAAAATTTCATCTAGTTCCCCCCCCTTTAAACATATTTAAATATTATGCCACTTACCACAGCATCATGTTTATAACCATTAGCAATATTGAATTTACTTTCAACATGTAATTTTGTTTGTTCAATCATTAAACGTCCAAATGATGTAACAGAAGCGGATATTTCTAAGCAAGGCAATTTACCAACTTGTGCACCAGTGAATCCATAAACAGAATTAGCGCTAATTTTTAATGCTAATTGACGTCCATCTAAAACACGCTTACGTAATGGATCAGTTTCTTTAGCAAGTTCAGCTTTAGCTCTATAAATGGGGAAGAGAAAATGATAAAGAAAGTAAAACAATACCTTAACAAACTAATGAGATTCAAAACTGACTGCATAAGTAATTATTCATTTACTCTTATATGACCAGGCGTATACAACCAATCCTATGGTAGTCCTGTTCACTACCTTATTATGGAGGGGATGTTGCTTTATGCAACCAAGAGGATGAAAGTCGAGTGTCCCGTGCTTAATCCGAGTTGGTAGGAGTAGAGGATACATCTAGGAGAGTTGGAAAACTCAAGTTTTAAATCAGTGGAACACTTAGGCTTCAGGGTTCTGAGGCAACAAATGGCGTATGAATCTATCCTTGGTCACCGGCCAACGTGGGACTGCGTCTACTAATATTTTTCTATTGGGCCAAAAGATTGGATAGTGACCACCGAGGAGTATCCCAGACCTCACACGAATTCAATGATAAGTGTGGCGTATATTTATTCTGGCGCTCTTTTGTACCAATGTTTATGTTTTTAAACAAATCAATATTTGTTTGTAGCTACAAAGCATTCTTCAACTCCCATACAAGCCTTAACTTAGAAGTCCTACTGATATATTCTAATCTTAAGGGTAACCCTTTTGGAGTTTCTATATAGCACGTTACTCAACACTACCATCCGAATTCTGATGGCCCGATCATTGGTCCTACCTTCTTAGAGTCTTTTTCAAATTCATTAAACAGAATAATTTCGAAACTAATCAACGTATTGTATGAAATATTAAATTTGATCAGTAGTAAAGTGAAATTCGACAACTAAAAAGGCAAATGATATTTTAGAATATAGGACTTTATCAGTGAAAAACAGTATATAATGAATTCGTGAAACATATGTCAAAGAACTTAGTTTCAACGCTTTTCTAGTTGCCTGTAATAATGTGTAATAAATGTTTTTTTAATCAAAGTGTATTCGATCGTGAACAGGGTGGCGTTTGGTACTGTCAAACGCGTAAGCCGATTCCAAAGCTCTCCGTCTACAGTGAGAAGGTAGTTTTATTGCAGATAGTGGTTTTCCGATGAGAAACCCTACTACTATCACACCCCAGTATAGTGAAGAGTATAAATGCGAATTCGAACCAAAGGTTCCTGCTTAGAGGTAAGTAGGCGGTGACCCACACCATGTAGGAACACTTTGTCTGGATAAGTAGTCGTGTTAGCAACCGAGGAACGTGACAGCAGACCTCAGAAGAGAGGTAGTTGAGGTCAGGTCACAACATGACCTTCTTGTGAGTGGTTCTTGAGATGTTAGCTTCGTACTTTGGAAGCTGTATCACCAGCGACCGAAATCCGTGTGGTATGATAGTGTGCAAATTCTAGGTCTAACTATTCTTACCTGCTCGTTTCGTTGCAAGAGTGGATAGCTGGAAATACTGATTGTTGTAGGAAAACGCCCAACTGCTGTTAAACCTCAGTACAATCAACACTTAGAAGATTTCACCCAAGGACATTAGTTTGCTTTTTTTTATTCTTAATGTTCTCCAATTAGTCGGTAGCGTATAGTGTGAAGTATGATTGATAAACGTGCCTCACTGCATTGATTTATTTTAACTTCGCTATGGTTATGCTTCGTAGGATAACAAATGTGATTTCATACAAAGAATTTCTTCATTAAGCGGCAATTGTATCAGACTATTCATTCAAATATTCGTACATTCAAATATTTGTATAGAATGTTAAACTTTGTTCACTCCCTTTTTGTATCCTCTAGCTGCCTCATCCGCTGTATCATTTTTGTCACTGTTTTTTTTTCCTTGTAATAGACTACATTGAGTTCTGGTTTTATATTAACGGTATTAATTTGCACTTCATAAGCATAGACTTTTCCAAGTCAAAAAGCTTACTTATTTTGACTTTGTTCACTCCAAGACGATGTTTTCAACAGCCTGAGGACTAGTTTAGAGATTCATCTGTAAATGATTGACTTTTACATACGATAGGGACTAAAGAAGCAAGTGTACTAACTAATATAGCTAGATCATTAAAGAAAAAACCAGCCGCCATGTCAAGATAGAAGCTCCAGTCAGACTGTACCTTGATTACTGACAATGAATTTCTCCCACAGAAATTTAAACTGAGAGAAATAGACACACAACAAACAGTGGAATGCTCAGGAAACACATGGTCTCAAAAGATATGTTTCAGAACTAAATCATGGAGTACACTTCAAAAGTACTTTTAATTGCTTTATGCGAAAATATTCATGCTTTTACAAGCGAACATGGATTAAGTTAAATGAATCAATTACATTATTATAAGAAAGTATTTAAATAAAGTCCCATTTAAAAGTGAAGTACGCTGACTAGAATTTGTATTTGACTGAACTATTATTCAATGAAGAAATTCTTGACAACCACAGATTCCAAATCAAAGGAAACATAGGAAAAGATTAATGAGTGAAATATATTTTAGTTGGACGAATCTTTAGCAGGTTGAAACTCACAAGTCTATTTTTCAGATGATTATTACCATTATTATTTATATCTTTATTGCATTGCTATATTCTTATTGTAAGCGTACAGTGAACCTATTGACTGATATTATACCTTTTACTACTGCATAATTATTGCTAATTAATTATGCGCTGTTAGCAACGAACACTACCATTTATGATGTAATTGTGCTTAAAGTATGGTTTCTAATTTGTCGTGCTGAGTAATCAAGAATTTTCAGTAAATTATTGTATGAGTTTTATAACATGATCGATTTGGGTATAACAGAGAACTAATTTGCTCTTTTTATGCGGTTTATGAATGGCTCCTAAGTTGGGAGAGCCGCGGGGACCAACAAATCGCAAAGGCCTCGATTATTATTCATTGGTCAGTGTGTATATCCGTGAAAAAGGTAGCCAACCCGACTGAGAATATCATACGCGATGTTGATTAGAAATTTTAGCTTTAACAAAATTTACCTTGTTGCTTTACATATAGTAATATTTTCTGGATCTGTTAAATTATTCGTGAACTTTTCAAGGATAAAACTTTCAAACACGCTATTTACTGATTAAGATGTTGGTAGAGGAATAGAAACAGCTATTAGTTTCGCATACATCTTGCGTTAAGCGCGATACAATCAAGTCATTCAGTGAGATTCCTATGGTTTACATCATTAATGGCAAAGTGACAGTTCTGCCCTTGATTTTGTAACGAGAACTTTAAGAAATCTATATAGAAACAGGTAACTAGTTAAAATAAGATTATCTCATAGAAGTTTCCGTTAAAAAGGGCACCCTTAGCGGGCTTTCACTTTTAACGAGATTACACACTTACTTTTTTCTGGCACTTAAAAGCTGTTGTAAAATTTCCGGTAAAATACCATGACAGATATGTGATTTAACAAAATACGCTCCAGTCGGTGTTTTAATGTAATCTTCATCAGTTAAATTATAACGTTGAACAAGTGCTTGAATACCACCGCCCGTTGAACCATGTGGTGTTGTATTCACTTGTAACAAAGTTGTATAACATAGATTATGAGCCATCATTATACTTGGATATAGGCTAGCAAAATCTAATGTAGCTATCGGTTCATTATAAAAACCTTTGCGTGGTTCCAGTACTGTTGCACCGACGAATTCATCACCCTGTTGCGACTGATATGTTGGCAATAAATAACCATGTTCATGGGCTTTACGCAATAACTGAGACACAACCTATTGAAGAAACATAAAATATATTAAGAATCACGAAATCTTTCAATATATAATTATGCTACTTACTAAATACTAGTAGTCAAAGGTTAAGACAAAATGTATTTTCGAAGTCGGAACCGCGAGGCTATCTGAGCTAGACCATCATCGAAAACCTGGAAGCATTGGATAGCTGTCCCGTCCTAGTATAGGACTCCTCAACAGTACACACCCCATTCTAAGACGAAACGGCCGTCTAGTGTCCCAGGTTTTCAATGGTGGTCTAGCTTAGATCGACTCATGGATTCAACTGTTAAAAAATGTATTTGCACAAAAAAAGGTATACACATATACCAACCTTGACTTGTTGACCCCGTGTAAGTAGGTATGTTAATGGTACACCAGTAACCCGAGCCATTTCAATATTATTTACAATACACATTAATTTATCTAATAAACGTAATGGTAAATAAGCATCTTTTAAACAATAAACAGCTAAACGTCTTCGTGTTTGAGCATCACCATTTTGTAAGTCAGTAATGACATTATGATGTACATCTTCTTTTTGCTCTTCAAGAAAATGATAACTCACTGCATTCAATGTATAACTTCGAAGTTTATAATCACGAAATAATATCTAGAACGAGATTTATATAAAATAAAATAACTGACAAGAAGAACAATTTTATAAATGATGTAATAATATTAAAAATCATTCGAACAAAAAGTTTAAATTCAATGAATTGACTGAAGTTAGAAATGTAAACGATTGGATGCTGTTAGAGTAGTTATTTAAAAGTGATTCATTTACCTCAAGGTCTTACATGTCTAAGATCCTATACGCTAGCAAGGTTATTAAGTTCATAATGGACTAAGATGAAATAGATGTTCAGAGTATCCTAGTTTTTCATGATTCTTTCAGTTACGGTCAGTCCATGAATTAAGCTATTTTCAAAATTGATACAGACAAGGAATATTGTAATATGCCAAAGTCCAGTTCGGGTGAAATTTAATAAATAATGAATCGGTAAGAAAGTGAAAACCTTAGGATTTTGGTAGCGACCACCGTTTTTACAACGAAAAAACTGATACGTTTTATCATAAATTTGACCAAAAATATTTTAGTATTTACATATTAATAAATAACACTGGATGTGTATCAGAGTGACACATTCATGTCGGACTGTTACTGCTACCTTGACGTGGTGGCCAGGTTTATCTATCGTAATGAACCAATCAGGTCTTACTGGCTGAAACAATCGTTCCTCGAGATCCTACCATGTTAGACAGGCAGGTCAGTTGAAGGGCGGTAAGACTAAAAGTGGCAAACTCAAGGTCCGAGGGTGAAGTTGTACTGTAGACTGTGTAACGGCAGTACGGTGTCCCCTTCAGACAACCAGCATAACAGAGATGGGGTTAGAAAAGGTCGACCCTAAAAATGCACACCTCGCCTTATCCAACGGATATCCATCTCCGACGGTAAGGTCCCAACAAGTACGGATCTAACATGGAAATAACTCACAAAAAGGTCGTGTGTGACCCACCTCAAGCAGTTGTTTATTGGGAACTGAGGTCACGCTCTCAGATCACAAAAACCAACTCTAACCCAATTTTCTTTTCGAGTACCTCTAGAAGAACTCTTCCACGGTGTGGGCAGTCGGGAAGTGATAACCGCCCTCATACCTCTAACAGCACTCAAGACCACCGTATTTATAATCGATTTCCCTCTTCAATTTCTATTATTCCCTGCCTCAACCATCAGCTCTATGCTTCCTCCTAAAGTGTCACCATGATCAATGATTCTAGTGCGCGAAATACTGTCCCAGGTCTACTGAAACCTCTCTTCAAACAACACATTGGAGCCTTCAACGTACGTACTCTATGTCAAATCGCCCAGCAGGTCTCTTTGACTAAAACCCTAGAATTTCGTACCACTGGTTTATAATGTTTCCGAAACACGCATACAGGATCATAGTGTGGTTATTCATATGGCCTCACCTAGCCAAAACGGAGAGCCGACGAGATACACCCGCCTTTTATCTGAGGACCCGACGGCGAATTCTCGTGGACTGGAGGATGTAGGCATAGCATTGAGTATGAAGGCAGAACAAGCACTTTTAGGATGGATGCCTGTTAACAGTCGCCTATGTGCTGGTTCGCCTAAACGGCTCCGTAAGAACTCGGAAGAATAGAGACACATGTAGTTATCTTTTCATCGTCTCTGCCTACACTCCCACTGACTGCAGCCCGGATGAAGTGAAAGATGACTTTTGCAGAAAGCTTTCCAAACTCCTTCAAAGAGCTGAACACTCAGACATATTACTCATAGCAGGTGACTTTAATGCCCAAGTAGGTAGCATAAACCAAACACAAAGATATTTAGATGGGTATTTTGGTATTGCGGCTCAGCGAACAGATAACGGTAACCGTCTGCTGCAACTGTGCTCAGACAATCGTTTATTTTTGGCTAACAATAATTTTAAGCATAAGGAGAGATACCGTCTAACATTGCGACTCCCTTCTCGATAGAAGACTGTCGCTCGTTCTGGAGAACATGTTTAGACTCGGATCATGCTCTAATACGAGGACAGATTTGCTTGCGCCACACTGGACGCCGAAAAGTCACATTAAAAAGGCCTATTAGATTTGAACTCATTGACGAGAAAGCTAAAAGTATATTCCAAGAATTGAGGCAGTTCTGGAAACGAGGCTGACCCAGATGTTGCTTGGAAATATATACGAAAAGCTGTGGAAGCAGCAGCGGCATTTATTAGTGATTTGAACCAAAGGGTTACGAAAAACCAGTGGATTTCTATTACATCCATTGCACTGATAGACTCTCATAAACCTATCCTACTAGGCTCAGAACACAATGAAGAGTGAAAACAAATCAGATCTAGGTTAACCAAAAGTCCATGGAAGAATAGTGAGCAGTGGTGGACAACGAAAGCAAAAGAGATGAAAAAGGCAGCGGCTGTAAGTAATACAAGATAGCTTTTCAGATTAATAAAAGAAACTGGAATTATGAAGTCAATTGTGAGTGAAACAATCTCAGGAAAAAACGCCACTCTTATCTGATCTCAGCCTAAACGTTTAGAACGATGGGCGGAATACTTATATCCTACGTTGTAGAGGATTGAGTGACTGATTGATGCATTAAGTCAAACATAGCTATTATTCCAAGCAAGTACTTGACAATGAAACCCGACGGAAGTATAAAAATCTCGATAACGGTGTGTTCTTTAAGTTGGATGGTTTAAATGTGAAGCTTTCATTGTTATTTTGAACATCATCACTGTCTACTGCATGCAGAATTATTCTTTTTAGGTATTTCTATCACAAATGTGATATCAATTCATTCTGGAAACCCCGTCCGTCATAAACATAAAATAACCGAGTTGACAAATGAAATAACACAACATTGCTGCTATCAATACTACGAAGTCTTTCGTTTTCCATGATGCATACATATATATGCAAGACGGTGTTCACGAGAAGTAACTACAATCGATATTAAACCACCAGGTAGGATTCGGGTTCGAACCCTACCCCAACTAATTCCCTTTGGGCAGCTGGGTAGTATACCATAATCGTCTTCGCAAACAATGTGGACATAGTAAATGGATCATAGAAAAAAAAACCACTGTAGGAAATAAAAATATGAAGTAAAGTTGTAAGAAATATGTTGATTAAAAACTACACACAGGTAAGACAATGGTCGATCTAAGACGGCATAACGTATAAAGGTCAATAGAAAACCAAACTAACCTGTAATAAATCAAACTGTACACGTCCATCAATATTTACAAATTTATTCTCTCTACGACCCATTTGTTTTGATTGAGTCATAGCTTCCCGTATTGTAGAACGTGCGCCACGTATACGACCAAGAAATTCAAAACCATCAACTTTTAAGGTGTTAGCACGATTAATAAGATAAGGTAGATCGAAATTTTGTATATTATAACCAGTGATTATATCTGGATCAACTTCACGCACAAACACTGACCAATTCTAGCAATATAACAAAAAAATAGAAAGTAACAACTACACATACATATATCTACAATTGATTAATCATTGAGTAGTGACAGATGTCATGTATGTCAAGTACTTTTGAGTGCTGATCGAATTCTACCGATCAAGTTGCAATATGGCAACTAGTCTAAGTGATTTGACATGGCGTGTACTATGTTAAGCTGTGAGTTGATAGTTGGAGATAATCGACAGAAAACACTGGACTTTGGTTTTGTTCTATCTGGTATTCGTTGACTAGATATACACCTGTAATTTTGAGGGGACTGATGCTTCCTGAAGGATTTGATCACATGTCGCTCAACTTCATATTCAGAGACATTACCAATGACCTATATGTTCAGGCACTAATATACAACAATTAGGGATTCGTAAAAATCTGTTATTTAGCCAGTTAGTCGGATGCAATGTAAAATATGGGACATATGTACTTTAGTTTAAGTTGTCATACACGATTAGTACAGTGAAATATAATTGTAAGGGTAAATTTCATGGTAGTAGAGGTAGTAATAGTATTCATGGTAGTAGAAAATGTTAGGCACCAAAGAGATGATCTCAAAAATTACAAATTATGTGAATAAAAAAAGATGATAAGAAGTTTAGAAGTTCAAAATTTGGGAGAAGACGATGAGTGAATGCATCCGCACCACCGTGAACGATCTTGAGCCATGCCATCCAAAGTCTTTTAAGCATTGACTACAATCATAACGCGAACACCAACCAGGTAGTCTGCATCTGTTTACATACTTTAGTTGGATAGTCAGAGTATTCATGGACTGACACCTTGTCTTGGTTTGGCTGCCCCCTAGCTTTCTTCCAACGTGCACCTACACTGGTGGTGACTTTTTGACTAAGGAATTGACGACGTTGTTTACAAAGGTTTGGGAACTAGAGAGTGTACCAACGTCATGGAATGAGTCGATAGTTGTCCCTATCTTTAAAAAGGGTTCACGTCGTTCTGTAACAACTATCGGGGGATAAGTTACTTCCGATTGCGTCCAAGCTATTGGTTTCCGTCATTCTTCGTAGGTTGTTCAAAACCCGAGAAAGATTGACTCGCGAGGAGCAGGCTGGGTTTCGTTCTGGTCGAGGATGTATTGATCATATCTTCACCCTCCGCCAAATGTTAGAACACCGCCATACTTTTCAAAGGCCAACAATCGTAGTGTTTCTTGACATCAGGGCTGCCTTCGATTCGTTGGATAGGACTGTTCTCTGGGATTGTCTATTGAAGAAGGGTGTGCCTGAGAAGTTTATTAACATCCTAAAAGCCCTGTATACAAACACCTCAGGCAGAGTGAAGGCATACAACCACCTCTCTCCATTGTTCCATTCGAGCAGTGGGGTTAGGCAGGGTTGCCCAATCTCACCATTCCTCTTCAACTTTGCCATCGATGACATTCTGGAAACAGCTCTGATGAATGTAAGTAATGGTGGTGTGGATCTGTTGCCTGGAGAAAGACTTCTCGACCTTGAGTATGCGGACGATATTGTCTTACTGTGCGATAATGCCCAAGGCATGCAATCCGCACTTAATCAGTTGGCAATCAGTGTCCGTAGGTATGGTATGTGCTTTGCACCTTCGAAGTGCAAAGTACTCCTACAAGACTGGCAGGATTCCAATCCTGTACTCACCCTGGATGGTGAGCAGATAGAAGTAGTCGAGAAGTTCGTATATCTGGGTAGCTGCATAAGTGCTGGTGGGGGTGTGAGTGATGAGATCAATGCAGTTATAGTGAAAGCCAGAGCGGCTTATGCCAATCTGGGCCACCTTTGGCGCCTTCGTGATGTTAGTCTGGCTGTAAAAGGCCGGATCTACAACGCGTCGGTGAGAGCAGTTCTGCTCTATGCTTGTGAAACCTGGTCTCTCCGAGTTGAGGACGTTAGACGACTCTCTGTGTTCGATCATCGCTGTCTCCGAAGGATTGCTGACATTCAGTGGCAACACCATGTCAGTAATGCAGAGGTTCGGCATCGTGTGTTCGGGCACAGAGATGATAACTCAATTGGTGTCACCATCTTGAAACACCGACTTCGGTGGCTTGGACATGTTCTCCGAATGTCGCCCCAGAGAATTCCACGTCGTGCATTATTTGCCGACTCTGGGACTGGTTGGAAGAAGCGGAGAGGTGGTCAGTGCATGACATGGTGTCGTGGCATGAAAGAAAGCTGCAAAGGACTGGCTTGTGTTGGTCCTTCACGACTCCCTGGCTGGGGTCCGAGAGATGGTGCTACACAGTGGCTAGAGACGTTATCAGATATGGCTCAGAATAGAAGCCAGTGGCGATCCTGCTGTAACCTTCTTTTACTTTCTTCATAAAAAGTGGTTGTGTCTCCTTTACCTGAAAGATTTCTTCTGATTGTACCTTTTCGTTCCGTCGTTACTACCACACTACCTTACTCCAATCTCTTCGTCATTGTTCTCTTTTCTTTTGCGTTCCTTAGTTTTTTTTTTCTCTTCTTTCTACTTCTCTTCGAATTCCCATTGTTTTGTGTGGCGCATATATATTGGCGCTCTATTGTACCAATATTTATGTGTTCAAATAAATAAATACATAAATAACCTACACCAGTCATCCTTACCCGTCGAGGGAGTCGGTGGATAGATATACATAGAGACTCATGATGAAGCCATTAGAATCAATTGTTTGATTATATATAATTACTGGGTTGATCTTGTGAGGCACATTATAGAATTTTGATGTAATTTCCATATCAAATAAACTGTCAACCATGAGATATCTAGTTCCGCAATTAGATCTCGTTTCGCATAGGAAGATGGGTGAAGAAACATTCCGGAAGAGTATTTCTCTAGTTTTCAGTGATTCTCCTATTAGTTTTAATTAGCGATATATATATATGTATAGATACAGTAATAAATAGACCAAAAGCATATATATATATATATATATATATATATATATATATATATATATATATATATATATATATATATATATATACAACACAGCTTTATACTTACAGCTAACAGTTCTTGTTCCGTTTGATGACAAATAACTTGTGAACCAACAATTGGTGCACATGTATTCAATGTGAATACATTACGTATAAACGGTGTTGTTTCCCCATAGTTAGTAACCATATTAGCAATCTGTATAACTGGATCTTTATCGGGTACAGGGAATACACCTAGTGAATTGAAAATGAAGTTTTATGTAAATAAATGAATAATTTTGTGGCAACAGGTATCATATAATGACATTGTCTGACAACTAAAGCAACCAAATAATACCACAGTAGTTCAACTCGTTCTATTTCATTACTGTCAAACATGACCACCTACAATCGAGGATTTTCATAGACTAAGAGTATTCGATCACAACTCTCTTTCAAGCATCACTCAGATCTTTTCGGACAAACCAGTGAGCAATTCTGAGGTCATGTATAAAGTACTACGTACGTACGACAAATCGATTCATGAGGTAGTGATCTTTATTAAATGAGCTTGTTGGCAAGTGTATTGAGTAGATCCAACTACCACCTATATCGACGACACGCGATCTTATCTGGTGTGGGAGTTGGTTGAAATAAAGTTAGGAGTATCAAATCAATGTATGGTATCAGTAATTGAAGTCATTGATAACTGAACTGAGCCATGTTAATAGGTGTAACCTAACTGGTTGGGATTTGAGTGATTATCGTACCGATTATTAAAGGCTTTGGGTGGCATGCCTCAGAATCATTCGCAATGGCCCAGGTGCATTTACCCTTTGTCTTTCCCTAAATCTTAAGTCTCTAAATTCTCTATAAATTTTTTTGTAAAACTGACCTATTTTTTTCGGCTTGTATCTTCGACTTCTAATCTTCTCTATTTCCACAAACACTATTAGATACTATCTTATACGGCTGTTTACATATACAGTTAATCAGTTAACAGTAATCAAAAGAAAACTCAACAAACCTTTACGACTGGCACATTCAATATCAAAACTCAGTACACGTAATGGTGCGATATTACTCCATTGACCTTCAGGTGAATGAACAATCAAAGCATCCCATGCTATATCAAACTCAATTTGACATCTTGTTTGACTAGTTAACAATGTCGAGTGATCATCAACACCATTTTTTGCAACACTACTATAACCATTTGTAGTATAGGTCGTTGAAGAATTAACAGAATTTAATTTTTGATTTATGGATTTTTTCACATCATCCGATTTCTTTGTAGAATCTCTCAAGTGATATTTCTGTGCTGGTGCTTCAACCCAACTACATCCAGTCATTTGTGTATCAGTCATAAAACGTATTTCAAAATCAATATTCGCTTCAAAAGCAGGATATGACTAGTATTTATTCAGTGGGAAAAAAGGAAGCAGAAGGGAAATATATGTTCCACAAATTAAAACTTTTTAGTATACTATTGTTAATGATAAATAAACTGGTAAGCGATCATCTGAGTTTTAACACACTTCAGTAAATGGAAGGACAACTTAGTTGGTTAGATCACCAAACTGTTAAGTGATAGGCTTGTGGCAAGCTCAAATCCCGCTCCTCTCAATTCAGTTTGAACAATCAGGTAGTGGGTGAGAGAGGTACATGTCTGTGAATCCGTAGCACATCTGATTAACCCTAACCCTAGTGGATATAAGAGCATGATTTTTGCGGAAGATCTCATTCCAAACCCTAACTGCCACTTTTTTTATTTTCCCATCCGGCAAGTTGAAATGCGCTACAGTAGTGTGTTCATGGAAGGTAAATGTAGATAGCTCTAGATGACTAGAATGAAGTCTTCAGTGAAGACTACACTCTTATATGCACCAGTGACATACAAAATAAATAGGAAAATAGTATTAACGTCCAGGTAAACAGCTTGGTCTAAAGTCACCTACACAAAAAACCTATACCTGCTAAATAAGTTATGCTCTCCAGTAAGAAATTAATAGCAAGTACTATTGATTGAAGGTGAGACTGATTTCCTTCCCAATCATATTATTGGGTTTCTTGAACGAGCTACTCTGGAGTGAAGGCTTAGTGGTTGAACCACTCGACTTCAAAATGCTAGGTAACAAATTTGAACCCTATTCCTCATATTTCGAGGTTTGAGCTGTTTCACATTATTACTAACATTTATAAAACAGATGTGTTCAACATATGAATCAATACTGCTGCTCTGTATTGCTCTATGGCTGTAAAACATAGTCTATGAAAATAGAAGACATGTGTAGCCCACAAGTTCTCAAAAATAAATGTCTTCAAAGCACTGCTCGAGAATCACAGAGCGACAGAGTGTATAGTGTTGACGTCAAATGTATGGTATTACGTAACGACGGTAAACTAGCTGATGACACCTAAAATAATCTTCGGTTGAGGCATGTATTACATAAGCATAACTCCCACCTACCTAGATATACTATGCTCATCAGTTTAAGAGTAGGTTGGGAGTAACATAAAGCTATCCAAACGAAGACATTACATCAGTCTATAAAGTCACTGATCATTGGAATTGCGCTATGTAGGTAGATGCAGACTGTCTACTTATGGTCTGAGCGATAACTTTGGGTGGCATGGCTCTGGATCAGTAATAATCGAATAAATGTATTCGCTTGTTATCTTCACACAAGACTTGGACCTCAAGATAGTCTCGTATTTTTTATTCAGAGAATTTAGTCCTTCAATTCAAATAGTATTCTTTAATGGGTAATCATTGTCGATACTAGTAATACTAATATTAAGTCATCTCACTTGAGGAATTAACGCACATTTGTATCAAACTGAATGTTGATTAGGACTGATTGATTTGATCTTGGTTAATAATTAACATGAAAAGTTAGACACATCTACAAATTATTGAAGATCAGTTAATTATTCGGTTGATGGATTTCTACCATAGTTTGGTCCTAAACTTTTTTGCGTAATTCTTAACACCTTAATTTTGAATCAACTGGTGAAAAAGTACACAAATGTTTGGAATTTGAAATATCTTATAGCCGAAAACCTTTGAAATAATTCCTAATAACTTGTAAACCATTCATCCTGATAAATATTACTTCATAACTCGCAACAATGTATAAGTCTCAGGAGACAATACGAAGCGTTGACTACAGTTTATTATTGGACAGAGCATATCAAAAAAATACAAACACACAAAAGGAATATGAATATAAATGCGAATGCGAATAAATACAAGCGAACGAATGAATTATTATGATCTAAAAATCACATATATACATGAAAGAGAATAAGTCATTGAGAGATCTAAGTAACTAATATATCAACTAGTAAGAGAAGTATGCATGTGGGTTGTAACACGTGTTCAGAAATACATGCTCATACAAACATGATAATAATACTACTACTACAAAGTTATAGACGAATTCTTACTGACCTAACGACCATTGCCTATTAAATAAGTTAATTGAAGGGCTTAACAAAACGAAACATATACAAACTCAAATGTAGGTGAGCTGCTATGGCCTTTACTACACCATCAAACCAATAAAACATCATGGTGCTAAATGTCTTTTATATACTCTACATATGATTCTTTAACATGGTATTAAAATAATTTGATCTATTGCAACATGGATTACCCCATACAAGACATCACCAAGATATGTACAGCAGAACAGGCTACACACTAATAAGTTATATATACTGGGAAATAAATTAAGTTTATAACTTTGCACAGATCTACTTCAGTGTCCACAAACCAGCTCATTATTAGGAGAGAGTATAGATGACGGGCAATTGATTACCAAAAAAACCTGGTATGGTTGTAGATATCAATTGATTAATATTGATTAACATAACTAATTTGTCATGTATAAATCTACGGTGGTATAAGCTTTTGGACATATTGAGGGCTTGTAAAACTACCTGGTTATGCTCTAAATGAAGTAGATGAGATGCAAGTTTGAACGTGTGACCAAGCTACTGAAAACAGTGCTTTAATTATTAAGCAATCGCTTCTACCGGCGGAAAGATATGAAATGAATTTCAAAGAGAGATTTTCCTTAAAGTCAGTCAAGCATCTCACAATGGTAATCAGAACCGGAATAAACATGGGGATGAGATTAAATAAACCATGACGAATTTCTAGTTAGCTACTAGTCAACTAGAAAACAGCTAAGTGAAATAGTTTATGGTAAAGAATATAATAAAATTACAAAGTGTAAACAGATTTTGCATAAATAATGAATCGATTAAAGTGGTCTACAAGTTGATCTAACTTTAAATCGAAAGAACAATGACACATAAACTCGTTCTAATGAATATATAGTGTCCATATGCTGGAACTCTTAAAAGGAGGTAAATAAATTTTTAAGGAATAACCAAACTATTCTTGGTTAGGATTAGGATTAAGGGTTATGGTTTCAATCATGAACTGACATCAGCTTTAATGCAAAAAAATTTTTTGGCGAGACCCTAATTTATGGATGACCTTTGAACGAATCCTAAGTAACCTTGAGAAATATTAGCCAATCAGCAAACAGTCAGTATATAGTAAAAATATGTTATACAAAACCAAGGAAATAAAGTGGATACACTTCTTATACGTGGTTCAAAAACTTGTCAGGGTTAGAAAGACGTTCAGACGTTCTAAAATCGTAATGCATGCAGTAGAGGAAATCATCCATACGACTACAGAATAGTCGGCCTCTCGAGCCATGGTAAAGTCTCAAATACTCTTTCAGCCTCGACCGCATAGCTTCAATATTGCTTATGTGCACTCCGGTTGTTGAGTGCACAAAATGCTACTTGTGAATAACGACACGATGCACATAAAGAAGTCTATGTAGGAGTCTGTACGCTCTCCAAACATCCGTATATATTGTAGTACCTGGCTGCAGCCAGTGTTACTGGTGCTTTTATTATCCAGTTCGCAATAATTGTCGTAATTTGCCTTAGTTAGGAATTATATATGGGGTTTTCATCATGAACTGACATCAGCTACAATGCCAGAAACTTATTTAGCCAAATGGATGAAAGGCTTTCGCGTTAAAATCCGAGATCTATTATCTTATACCTGGTTGATTCGTCCACAAATTATAGTCCCGCCGTTTTATTTGTTATAGCCGCTCAATTATCACGTTTTGTACAAAATTCCCTGTGAACCGATCGTACGTTAGCATTAAGCACTGAAGTTGTGGCCGTAACCTTGAAATCTTTAAAACGCCTCTGATTGGCTCGTCCACAAATTAGAGTCTCGCCGATATAGAGCCAGCTTGTTAAGAAATACTTCAGGATTAGGAATTTAAGGATATGATTTAAGTGTGGTGTTAATTTTCATGGTATAAACAATCTACAAGAAAAACTGAACTTTTTTTCGTTAACACTTATTTTTACTCTATGGGGCCAAAAATAACCCCTTCCTATTAGTTTGAAGGTTCTGAGCCTGATAGAAAGATAACTTGACTGCTGGTTATACTTGATATTTGAATTCCGAATAAAAAGTTTCGAACCTTATCTCACTTAATAAGGGGATTGGGGAGACAGATATGATACTAATTGGGCATTATAAAAAGTAGATAATCATGTAAATAAATTACACTGACAAAAAAAGAAACCATTTAAACTATAAACTAACCTGTAATGAATAATCAGCAAATGATAAACCATTGTCTAATATACGTTTAGCTGGTGCAATTAAACGTGGCAATGCCAAAGTAATACGAAGAAATGGTAGACTACGATTTCCATGAAAACCATATACATCTATGGAAGTTATAACAAATATTGGTTTTAAACAACTCGTATTATCAGGAAATCACAATTTGTGTTATTGAGCGCTTAAACTAACATATGTTATGACAAAACTATGGTAGCTCACTATTGCTTGACCACTGAGAAGTGAATTAGTACCACGTTTATCCTTGGTACTGATCGAATTCCATGAATTAAGCTAGGGTGTAACTACTACTCTAAGTTAGTCGATATTGTGTGTATTGCATTGTACGATGTAGTCGGGGGGGGTCTATGTTTTGTGCTAGCTGGTACTTGTTAGTAAGGCATACCTGCAGTATTGAGGAAACTTATGACTTCTTGTTGGATCTGAACCCTCACGTAATGAGGTCTTGATCTAGGGGTTCTTGTCGACTACTGTCAACCACTCAAAACTATGTTCTGTTACAACAACCGTACAAAATTGAAGAGTATCACAAAGAAAAAGAAATGGCCTTCAGGGTATTTGAAAACAAGACTTCTCATACTTCATAAATATGTTTAATAAATATTATTAACTAAAGATGTCGAGTTTTATGCCATTCTATATCTATCATCAACTAACAATATAAATCAGTCGGTCAGCTATAAAATCTGGTATACATGGGTATTTATCAAAGTCGCAACACTAAATCGATACAGCAAAATCAAAATTGATGGAATGCATGACAAATAAGTTGGAATCATAATAATAGTAGTTAGTATCAATTGTAGGAGTAAAGACTAAACACAGCGAATATATCCCCTTACCCAGAGTCAAATATTGTCACTTTATCCAACATGGTTTATTGGTAGACAGAGACCGCATGATGGTCTGTATCTGGAATGAATCATTTTAAAATATTTGATTTGTGAGATGGTTGCAACACATTTAATTGTAAGCAACTAAAGGACCAAATCATAGCATAGTAGTTTAACTTGTTCTATTTCATTACTGTCAAACATAACCACCTACAATCGAGGATTTTCATAGACTAAGAGTATTCGATCATAACTCTCTTTCAAGCATCACTCAGATCTTTTCAGACAAACCAGTGAGCAATTCTGAGGTCACGTATAACGTACTACGTACGTACGACAAATCGATTCATGAGGTAGTGATCTTTATTAAATGAGCTTGTTGGCGAGTGTATTGAGTAGATCCAACTACCACCTATATCGACGACACGCGATCTTATCTGGTGTGGGAGTTGGTTGAAATAAAGTTAGGAGTATCAAATCAATGTATGGTATCAGTAATTGAAGTCATTGATAACTGAACTGAGCCATGTTAATAGGTGTAACCTAACTGGTTGGGATTTGAGTGATTATCGTACCAATTATTAAAGGCTTTGAGTGACATTTCTTAGGATCGTTCTCAATGGGGTAGGTTCACTCACCCTTCCTTAATAACTCGAATCCTGAAATCGTATACTTTATTTTTCTGTACTAAATCTTTCCTACTACTGCGGTGTATGCTACTTATGCTGAACGACATAAGTGGTATGTAAGAACATTAGGAAGTGGAATGCCCGTTAGCGGAAGATTGGAATGCAGAGAACATAAAGAAAATTGGAGAGCAACCACAATAACAACAGAATTAGAGGAATAATAAAGTATGTAAGGGACAACGCGAAAAAATGTGGAAATAATGTATTTAATGTATGGTTTCCATATTTGACCAAGACACTGTAATTCTGCATTAAACAATAAATCAGTTTTCCCCACCTGAGCTTCGGCTCACTACATTTCTGGTACTACTACTGATAATATTACTAATCCCACTACTCTGTGATTAGTCTTGAAATGATTTTACCTTGCCGTGATAATCTGGTATCGCAACTTGAACCGATGGACATGTGTCAAGGTTAACGTTGAGTATAACTGACTGCCTAAACCACTTAATATGATCACGATTTAAAAGAAAAACGTTCTTAGCTAATAACGTCCAAGAAAATCAGAACATTCAGAGTCAACTTTATCACTAAATAAAAAGCTTAGAAATATCAAAAAAGCAAGTATCAAATACTGTTGTAACGTTCAAAAAGAAAACGCAGTAGGATGGAAAATAGAGGAATAGCATTTCAAATATCAATTAAAATGACTTACTTCGTTTCTCTTCACATGTAACTCTAAGCACGAGGTGTTGCAATCCTTCAAACTCTTTTGACTTCTCTTTTAATAACATAGAATTTAAGGCTTCACGAAAAGCATTCAAATGATCCGTTGAAAAATCTTTCGGTGCTGGTACATAGAAATATGGTAGAAAACCATGCACATGCGCACATACACTATGACCCTTTTCAGTTATACCGAACAAACGTATAATTGGTACAGGACCTTGAGTAGCACCAGGCATACCAGTTAGATGTTCACCCTGGAAAACAAGATAAATCATTACAACCTTGTGAAATAGTTTTCTGACTACAAAAGAAAACTACGCAAATCCGTATTAGTAACATGCAATACAAAACGAGTTTAACATGAAAGAAAAGACTTCATTCATGAACACAACAGATTATTATAGAACAATGAATATTTCCATTGTCAAACGACATTCCATATGGATGGTTAGGGATGAGTAACATATGTATTAACCGCTCCAGTCAATTTAAAATTACGATCTAAGTACGCTTAAAGAAAATAGATCAATCAACAATACATTTTAAATTAATTGTTTGAAAACAAAAGCATCATTCAAAATCTATGTGAACTTCAAAACCTTTTATTAAGGAAATATATCTCACCTGTTTCTTAGCAACTAACTAATAATATTACTTGTTAAGTCGACTGAATAACTCGTCAACTATACATAAATACATAACATTTCGTAAGTTCCAGACACAGTGTAGCATGTATGAAAACAGCATATGACTTGGAAAATTATGTCCTACTCTAGGACTATTTGTCTAATGGTGAATACTCGACAAAGGTAGAAAGAGACATCATAATTCAAATCGTTTTTATTACAGTAATATATCTTGATGAAAAAGAATTTGTGAAAATTCTATGGGTAATTTTGACCGTCCAGGTAAGGTTCTACGGTAAACTGTACGCTGCTTATTGTGAGAATTCTTGTCAAATTACATTAAGCGAATCAACTTCGTAAACATAATGAAGAACAGTGTACTTTTATGTAATACAATATATATGTAGAAAAAATGAGATAGGGCACTATAAGTAGGTGAAATAGAAACTGGAAATTAAAGTGAAAAGTAACCAAGCCCCAATTAAAATTCGGCTCCTAACTCGAGGTACCTGGAGAATAGCGGGAACAGTGTGAATTAGAATGAATGATCAATGGCAAGCATCCTAGTCCACTACTCTATCGTATTATCGGATTAACGTTTCACAAGTGCCAGGATTTCTGAATCACATCATTTCACACCGAAAACATATTGTAGTTCGGCATGTGTGCCAAAAGAAAATAACAACACTATCCACATGAGCCATCAGCCTTATTAACTTTCATGCACTGAGCAGATACACAAGCTGTATATAAAATATAACGTATAGCCTTCAATGGATGAAATAGAAACCCAGGACTAGGGAAGTAAATACATATCAAGTTATCAGACTGTATATTTTAACATGTAAAACATTGAGATGTACATTTTAAGTTTGACTACAGATTAATGTCGTTACATATTCTCAGGAATGAACACAACCATCTAGACCTGGAACATTTATCTTTAATTCACTATGGTAAGATAAATTTTTATAAGGCGAAAGGAAGTAACGCAGATGTAGAAAAAAGATTTCCAACCCAAAGTGGTCTAGCCTCTAAATTACAGACCTGCTCAGATTATAATGATAAATCAGAATAAAATATGTGTGATGGGTAATTTCTGAATCGCACTGTTTGTACAAGAGTTAGTGAGAAGACATGGATGTCAATAAAGAAATAGATAACTTGAATTTCTTGCTTACAACTCGACAGTTGGAATTCAAATCTATTCAATGCATCAAAGTGACTCCGAGTTTGTTACGTGGGATTGTGACTTATTGTTGAATACCCTGAATTCGCATCAACTTACTGAGTTGTGTTATTACTCATTCCAATAGTTCCTGCTAAATCGTCTTTTCTTGCCGCTTGCCAACTAATCAGTTGTACGATAACTATTCTCTATAACCTCAAGGCCTTTCAGTCATAAATGAAACTCATGCGTTACGAGTCTCTTAGCTACTACGTGACCTAGCATATCAATCCCTAAACCTAGTTTGCGACGAACTCTTTGTAGTACATACAAAGTAATGGGCAGAAAATCAAGGTCATAACAGTAAATGACTGTCAACAAGTATAAAACTCAGAAAGGCTGAATTTATACTACATATCACTGAAACGACAGTTACTAAGCAAAGTATTTCACTAAAACACCTACAAGATAATGAAAAATTAAGACAACATTATACAGATGCAAATCCTCAACACTAAAGATCGCAAACGAGTCACATATAGCTACTGAATCGAAGAAAGTAATTAAAGCTATTCAAAACACCAATTGATGACGGCAATAAAGAAATAATCTATCAGGCTTAAATGATATGAAAAACAATACGAACAGCATGGAAATTGTCTTCTGTTCAAGTAATTTAGTGATTTGACGAGTGGTGTGTTAATTGACTGGTGGTATGAACGTACAAAGTAGAAATTACAATCGCCTAATAAATCAAACTATTTACAATAATTTCAACTCTTTAACTCGATAAAGGTATGTTTGGAGTACAATAAAATGTTTTTTTTTAAACTAACTTTATAATGTGACACATCAAACTGCTGGAAAATAATACTGTCCTTATTTGGATCCAACTTCTCCAACCTACGTCTTGGCCAATGCGAATTCGTTAGAAAGTCTAGATGAGACAAAGCAGAACTTTCGTCCACCAAAGCTATATCTTCAGTCTCGATGTCATCCAACAACATTAGTTCCTGCTCGAACTTTGAGGGCTCTGGGGTATCATCGTGGTTACCTCTGGTTGAAGAGAAATGAACATTTCAGTTAATGCGAAGTGAATCTTACTGTCAAACTGATACTAGTCTATATAATTCATCCTGATATAATTAATCATAACCTAAGCAAGCCTATTAACCAACAAATCTGTGACTTATCACACAATGACACATTGGTCAGGTTAGATTGATTCACCTGCTGTAAGCTTAAGTAACTGTATTGATTTACTTGCCGAACCTGGATTTGGTGCATCACCTTCACTACTGATCACCATAATACTTATGGAACACTATCCAACCAAAATCACTGTCGAAGAAACTTAGGATTTGGTCTAATACTGTAAAAGCGTCGGTTCAACTGCATTGCAAGAAATTCGAAACACCCTTTTACTGACTGCCTCGTACGAGCCTTAAAGATAAAAAGGGTCAAATCGTGTCACGAGATGAGAACCCAAATCAAGCCATATTATTTAGCACAGTAAAAACAGGCGAGGTAACAGTTTGTGCGCGAATCAATCAGATAAAAGAAAACGAGCTTTGGACTTTGGGGACTAGTTCACCCACCGGTTAGGTTAAACAGCATTTCGACATCATAACTGTCAGTTCGTGATGAAAAATCAACTATAAATCCTAACCCTAACTTTTAACTCCCAACCCTAATCCTAGTTAATAATAATAGTAACAAAAATTTTTGGACTCAAGATGCATGTTTCCAGAGTCACACAAGGGTTTTCCAATGGACGTGCAGACCTTACTTTCAACAAGACTGGTACTAAGCACTAAATAACCTTTAATTTTTAATGATGTTAGGTCCATCACATATGAGTTTGGTTACACGCACGTGTACTCTCGATGCTAATGCTGAAATATTTCCATCTCGAAACTACCACGACATCTACATTTGGTAGGCTTAAACGTTGCACAAAATCACTGTACAAAAACTACCTTGGTTTTTTAAAAGAACCAGGTCCTTTCTGAGGGACTAATGAAGGACGCTTGTTGGACATTGCTGTGGTCTTTCGTAATTTGGACAACGCGCCTCCCAAACGAAAGTATAGAAAACCTTGAGAGAAAGTGTTCAAACATTAAAGCACAACTGGAACGTAAGACAAAGAAGACACATAATGTCCAAGAAACTGTTGAAAATAATAGTAGCTCTGTAGTAGCAGTTACAGCTCTCCCATTCTGTTTCAGGAGTGCACCTATCCACAGTGGTGATGCTACTATAGTGACGATGTAGTGTTCAGCCGGTCAAACTGACCTGAAAAAAGCTTCATGGTCTAGGAACTTCAAAGTTTTCTTGATGTCCTTGTGTCATTGTTTCCATGCTGACTCAGAGAAAATTAAACTGTAAACATATATGTTTCATCTGTAGTAACATCAAAGACTATCAATCAATTTACTGAATTCTGGGGAATTCTTAGTGCTTGAATAAGTGGGACTAGACGACTCACCTCACGTTTAGACTTTCTGCCTCTATAATATAGTTTAGACAGTTGATACAATTAGGTTGAACTAGGCACGTGAAGGAATTTGTGGAACTTATGTATAATATCGGTACTAGTGCACTTATTTGTGCAACTAAACTAACAGATCTAATCCATTATTGTGTACTTACCATGATTTGAGCACTTAATCCATTTAATATTGCGTCGAAGTCTGCTGATTATTTCTGTCGTGGTAGTCAGTGTAATCGTTAGTGAGTACTTGTAAAAATACATATTCCGTATGGTGGTAGAAAAAGAATTGAATATCAAGAGGAAGGATATGCAGTGACTACTCCTGAAGGGCAGATCCATACAATCTCTATGATTCGACCGCACAGATGTGAGCTGATATTTACTACTTTTTATCAAACATCCAACGGTCAATGTAAATCTTCTAGTTTGGCAGATGTTCGGCCTCGTGGATGACTTTTGATGATGGTCTACGACAACTTAGTTGTTGCCATGGCCTTACAGAAATATTTATGCCACTGAGGAGTTCAAGTAACTTCAAAGACCACATAACAGTTCTACAGTATGAACTACGATTTAATCGTGATAAGATTCAGTACCACTAGAACCTTTAACAGTCTGATTTATAACATTCTGAACTGTATCAGGTAAGAACATCAGTCCAACAAGTAAGAAGTCGTATCTAAACCATCAGAACAGTGAATCGGTAGTAGTAAGCTCACTCAAAACTTCATCTCACGAAACTCGTAAAAATGTATCTTATAAGTCTATTCTAAGCAAGTATTACATCCTTCAAAATCGTTGTTTCGTTTCTTCGGTCTCTTAAGTGACTTGACTTTAAAACCATATAAAATCAATCTACGCTTCAAGATGATAAGGTCTTTAACTATGCTTAAGTGTAAAGACAAATGTTTTCCAACTTTTCACGGCCTGAGAACGCTGTAAGTTTAGATCTTTGATAAAGATGTTATCAAAAGAATGGACGTATAAAGGAATGAAAACTTTGGTTGATGTAGGGCTCTTTAACACGAGCATTGATGGGCACTAAGAGGAGAACAATGGCCCGACTACTAAGTTGTTTCTTGAACAAAATATCCGCTTCTCACAGTGATCTGTCAATTGGTAACTTCCCAAGATTATTAAGATCCGTGTTTGCAGAGATGCCAGTCAGAATTTCGTAATGATATCAATAATTAGTGTTAGTCCCGAATGGAGTAAAAAGCAAACAACATTCAAATATGAACTTTGGTTTAAAGTACGCTGAATTGGGATTATATTGTGTTACTAATAAGTATATTCTAGATCATAGAGTTGGTATGCAATGCACAATCTGACAGACATACAATGAACTTAAGTGAAAGACACACAATCGACTACAGAAACTTAGATTTCAAGTTAGGCTGTGATGGTTGTGCTGTTTGTATAAGCTAATGATTCTTTTGTACTTGATGACTGTCTGATTTGAAATTCCAAATACAATGCTTTCGATCGTGCTCACTTAGTTCTATTTGGCCTTAAGCACTTTATTTCTCTGTCGCGTGATTGGGGACCTGCTCGAGTTAGACAGGAATAATGTGACCAACAGCTAACGTTGAAGTCACACCTTGCGGTCAGCACCTAAAGTGGATTACCCCTTGGCCGTATCAAGGTACTATGGGTGATTTGAGGAGCGTACAACACAAAGAACTTTATTACAGGAATATATTGTTTAAAGTAGGTACATGCGAAACTGTGATGACCACCGCATATGCCAGTCCATTGCGCACGATTAACTGCGCGTTGGTTGTGCTAGACTTTGGCAGGGATCGATGGTCTGTTTGATATTCAGTGAGCCAGATGATCTGGCTAGGGCTCAGTGGCATTTCACTGGCTCTACACCATGTTCATGGTGTGGTGTGTGCTACTTATATCGATGTGAGTAGTATATGACGTCCCTCGTGGACAACAGACTGTCTGGCTGCAGAGAAACAAGATAATCGAACAGTAAAGAATGGGAACAGAATGCAATTTGTATGAAAACGCAAGAACAATGAAGTCTGAGTCATTATGAGACAATTGATGGACAGTTTGCAAATTACGTATTTAATATTTGTTTGTTAGATTTTATCAACAAGTTCTGTAATTTTGTGTCAAATACATTTGATTGTCCCCACTGGTGTTCTTGTTTGCTACAACAGCAGCCTTTCACTGGTAATATCAGAAGCTGTAAAAATGAAAATATGAATATCACATAGCGATTATGTAACATTCCTCCATTAAATGGATGGGAAAAAGACAGTAGATACAACAAACACTACAGTTACTAAGGCCTTAAAACACTGCATATAACCCCAGTAAATTACATCTCATTAACATGAGACAAGATTTGAACAGAATTGCTGAAAAAAATTGGATTTTTACTATAATGGTTAGAAGTATTTGAATTATTATAGGAAATGGGAATCCCAGAAATAAAGTACTTAAGGCCAAATAGAACTAAGTAAGCACGATCGAAAGCATTGTATTTGGAATTTGAAATTAGAAAATCATCAAGTACAAAAGAATCTTTAGTTCATACAAACACCACATTTAGATTTAAGTTGGTTAACATTACTAGGTAATATGGAACTCAAAAGGACTAATGAATGCCAAAGTATG